CTTTACTTTAGTGCTGCATCAAAATGACAAACCCATAGTCTGAGTCACTCTTGAAATGTTTCTGTCACATTTGTAATCAGAAAGTCCATTGCTTGAAGCAAAGGTTAGAATACTGTGATACCTCATGTTCAGGTAAACTAGTGACAGCCTGTACTTTGGCTCTCACATTTGTCTTCTGAGGTTTGAAAAAAATAATTTGTCATCTGAACTAGGACTTTTTTTTGCAATTTTCCATGACTCTGCTGCTAATATAATACCGTGACATCTCAAATTTACTGAAAGATGATCACCAGTCATTATTTCAACAACTGCCATCTGAAAGAGGTTAGATGGCTTCTATCTGAAATGCTAATAACCGCCTGGAGTCTTGTCTGTTATTGCCTTGATTCCTCCTTCCATTTTAACAACTCTGGGGAAGGAATAATGGGAAATTTTAACAGAATTCTGCACTGAAAGTACAATCACTGCCATCCATCTTGAGCTCATAAAACAGGCATGGGGCTACTGCTGGACACGGGCAGCCTATTGGTTCCCAAAGCTTTTGTATCTCTTTGCTACATCTCTACCAGCAGTGTGGTTACTGGCAGGAGTGGCAGCAATACTGCAATGTGTGGTAGGGCACTCAGTGAGATTAATGTTCTCTAAAGTGTCAGCCACAATCAGCTGTTCCCACAAATGTCTTATGGACTCCATTGTCTGGCCTTACAAATGACAGGGAATATTTCTCACATCTACTGTGAACCCAGACTTCTAGAAACACTCACACTTTACAGTACAAAAAGAATAATTACACTATAATTATATTGTAGGTGGTTTTTTACCATAAGATTTCCACTAATCTATATAATGAAGTACTTCATGGACTGGCCAAAAATAATTGCAATGTAAAATGATGTAATTGGTACATCTGCACTTAAAAATACACAGTCAGGACCTCAGCTGAGTTAAATCATTATCTCCCTGATGATATCAGTCTGGTTCCTGTGCATTAAAAAGCAGATCATGGGAGCAATAATATCTCAATTATGTAGTTAACCTTCTGGTTATATTAATTAGTGATGATTAGGCATGGGAAACCATAATTATGTCACGTACATAACACCCCTTTGAAATTGCATATGAATCTAAACACAAAAGGCAGATGTGAACATCTAACCAGGGCTAGGAAAAATCTGAAACTTAATTTTATGACCCTCTATTTGTGTCTGAAACACAGCCAGTCATGACAGCTCTGCTGATGTTAAATTTGTAGAAGAAACTGCAAGTTTTATCTGTCCCAGAAGAGAAATACAAAGCAGAACAGTCTCATATTCTGATTTCACATGCAAGTTATTAAATTCTGACTAAAAAAAGAGAAAAAAAAACCATTTAGGCCAAATTCAGTTACCAAACAAGGAAGCTCTGAATCTAAAGAAGCACCTTTGCATTAACTCATGACATTTATCCATTTACCTGGGGTATGAACAGCTGAAAATCAGTCTCCCTTGCTCCTGTTTGCAGGAGATCCTGACAGCCAGAGAATTATTTGCAGGAAAACTTCCCAAAGATTTTCTCCTGAATGACTGCACAAATACAATGAGAGACTGAGAAAATTTCCAAGGCTGTCTGAGGAAAATGTGGTTGGAAAGAGGGAGTCAGAGAAAACAGGATTTTCCACAACTGTCCTCATGTCTAACTTAAGACTGAAATTTTTCACCTTCAAGGATAAAGAAAAGCCAATCTGAGCTAACACTCTTCCCCCAATAGAGCAGAGATGTGCTTTATCCCAGCAGACCATTCCCTCACAGCAGGACCACGGTAAATAATTATGATGGAGGTCACTCAGTCTAAATTTAGAAAAATATTAAACATTCCAGTTTTCTATAGGCTTCTGTCACCGACTGAAACCTACAGAAACTGTGCACTGCAAGAGGAATTGCGGATCTAAACATCCAGGCTTATTCTGATGGCTGCATCATGCCACCTTTGCAGGGAAAAGGACAAGCCCAGAATATCACAAAATTTCCATTAAAATTAATCCTTTGAAAAGTGAATGCTAGAAGAAACTGCATATTTTTGACCAAACAAATGTGCTTCAAATGGATGGTTTGCAAATGTCAGGTTGAAGTGTTCCAAAGTTGGGAGCTGCCAGAATTAATGCTGCCTGTGTACTCTGCATTGTACTTGCAGGGTCTTTGTCAGTGTTATTCCCAGGCTTTTTATTTTTTTAGTCTAAGTAACTTGACTTTGAAAGTTTGACTTGCAAATCTGGCATTTGCAGTTCAGGGAAACCCCACCTTGTGCACCTTTTGTTCTATGTTCACTCAATTACTATTGGATGTGCTGTTTGCTTTCTGCAGTGCCAGCAGCAAGGGACACTGGCACAGCGTGGGCCAGGGTGAGTTATTGACCCCAGAATCAACACTCTTGGGGTCTTCACTGTTTCTGCTCTGGGCTGTCAGATCAGCCCATGACAGCCAGTCGAGCAGAAAACCCTGCCCAGTAAGGGCCCAGGTGAGTGAGGTCCTGGCTGTATTCTGAGCAGAGCAAGGTCTCATTAGGTGGCAGTGTCCCTTAAGGGACTAAAGGCACATGGTACTTTGCAGATTGTAACCCAGTTAGACTTTGGTAAGACATTCTGCCTGTCTTTTCCTCCACTAAACTGTAAAAGTGTTGTCTAATATTTATAACCAGCAGTTCTCAAGCATTGCAAGCTGTTCTGTAATGATATTTTCAATTCAGTCTGAGACTCCTGAATGAAATTTCTGAAGAAGTTACATAAATGCTTTCTTTTTCAACCTGAATTGCATTAAACATAATATTATAGAAAAAATCCTTGCAAACATCTCACTTCAAGAGAGGTTGTTTTTTCTTTTCCTTTTGCTCTTGGCAGTGGCTGTGACAAGAATGACAGAGCAAAACACAAGAGAAAGTTATAAATGTTACTTTTCCTAAGACAGCAAACAAACTCATGGACTACTGAGGTGGGAAACTGAGGCACTCTTCTTTCAGACACTCTGACCTGTGTCTCACCCTGGGGCTGCAGAGAAGGTTTAAATTGAGGAGCTCCCTTGAGAGTGACAAGTCTGGGGCCTGTCAAGCAAAGGGAATGCGCTACCTATCTTCCCAGCCATCTAAAAAGAGACACTGACAGAGGAATGCACAATTTGGGAAGATGCTTTTCATCACTTCAGGGTTTTTTCACCTTTACTTCAAATTGCTGCACAAGCAAGGCAGTGCCTTTTGGTTCCTCCTTCTATATGCACCTCCTGACACACAAGGAAAAAGTTGCCAAAATCTGATAACAAGCATGAGCCCCCTTCACTTCATCCCTTTCTCCATTCCTTGTTTCCTGAACCCACACCCCTGGCAGAGGTCAGGATCCATCCATCACAACCTGGCACGTTCTCTGCTGGCTTTTTTCCCTTTCCCCATCTCAGCACTTTCTTTCCATCAACTCCTCTGGCACCACAGAGCCATGCACAACATCTGAAGAGCTGGCACAGGGCAGTCCATGTCAGGGGCCATTGCCACAGTGCAGACGACTGAGTTAGAGGCTTTGGCACAGCCTTGTTTATCAATATTAATGAGGCTGAACCAAAGGTGCAATTCCTTGGGGTCTTTTGCCTCACTCCTCTCTTTCCCTTCTGGAATCTTGACCAATCCCTCCATTCCACTCTTTCCCACCTCAAGTAGCTGCCCCAGAGAGTCTGAGAGCAGGACTGATGAGGCCACAGCTCTGCCCTTTTGTTTAGTGACACAGATGCATTATTAGGGGCTAGATTAAATAGGAGGTTGGGGTTGGGGATGCATACACCCATGCAAGTTTTCTTAGGGGAAGAGAAGAAAATATGGTCTTTTGAGAGATTGAGGTTTTAAGGAAAGTATAAGACCCGTTTTCAAACCTTGACTCTGGCTTGTGACTTTGCATATTTAGTTGACTCTTACCATAACACAGTACTTGATTGGAGGACTAGAAGCATGAACAGCACTTAAGAAATTATCTGTAAGAATGCAGAGCTCTGGTCACAGGGAAGTTTCTCTGCCATCTGAAATTGAGCATGTAAATATTTAGTTCTGGGCTGCCACCACTGAGATTTTGCACAGCGTCATCACTGGGGTTCAGACTCATGGTATGGCAAAACTGACAAACTTGGATGTGAGGGCACCAAACAACGCTGTCTCCATAGCTGAGCTGGGCACATTTCCCTCTGCCTTTCCAATGCAACTTCCCAGCAAGCTCATCAACCACATGGATGCACTGGAAGTGCTTGGAACCAAACAGTACCAGAAAACAATTTACTGAAAGCAATTCTTCTGCCTAAAGAGCTGGGTATTACATTTGTTCTTCTTGCACACCTTCCCCTGTCGGGGTGCCACGCAGAGGAAATCTGTGCAGCTGATCTGGGATTTCACAAACCAAGGGATTGTGTGCCACAGATCCTGACAGGCCCTGTGCTCACAGCCTGGCAAACACCACAACTGTAATCTCTTCTCTGAGATAAAGTCCATCAATCTTATTCTCACACCAACCTCTCCCACTCTGCCCTTCAGGCAGAGCTCGAAGAAAAGCCCTTCTTGGGAAGGATGTTAAAATCTGCCCTTCCTTGGTACTCTCCTGTTTAACTTACTCTTTTGGCTGGCCTCCCATCAAAGTTGGGTCAACACATATCCATTTTGTCTGCTGAGCTGACTAGTTTTCAATAACAATTTCTCCTTCATTCTATAACAGAGATCAATAGAACTGCCCCTCTCTCATGTTGGCTGAGATTCCAGGAATGTAATTTGCTTTTTATTGTTGCTACTGCTTTGTTTTGTTTCCATTTTTCTTTCTTTTTTTTTCCTTTTTTTTTCCTTTTTTTTTTTTTTTTTCTTTTTGGCAAGGCACAGATCAATTTAGAAAGACGAAAATGACTTAGACTTTCACTCAAAGTAAAATCTGCACTTTATAACCCAGGATGTAATTTACAATTCTGTCATTAAACTCTGTTAATCCTATTATTATGAAGATAAATAATTACCCATAGCGAAGAAAGGGATTCCCAACAGAGTAGAATTATATTTTCCATCAGTAATGAAAAATATCCCTGCCGCAGTGACACTGGAAATACAGATAGTGAGCACTCCCAGGAGTCCCAGGAAAGGTTTGCTACGCAGGCAGTCCTTCATGGAGCTCGAGAGGGTTGCAGTCAGGAGAATCAGCATCAGGCTCACCAAAATCTTGCCCCTGGCCAAGAGACTGGTCTGGTGGAAGTCCTTCCAGAGGCTAAAGGATGCTAGTGAGTAGAGCTGCAGATCCTGGTGATCCAGCTGCATCTTGTGCATCAGTTTACAGAATTCGCTCTCCCACTTCTCCCCAATGAGGTCCTGGGTGACAGAGCCATACGTTTGGAGGTAGTAAGTGATTTGGATGGCTCTGGCTGATTTGACTCTCTGGTCCTTGCTGTTTGGCACTTCCATTACCCCTCCAAGCTGGTGGCCAATGAAACTGCTCCTTCCATCCTGGGAGAGAAAGCAGAAAAGATGAGCGTGTGGTTATCGTGCTTGTGACGTGGTGCAGAGATAAACTCTGTCTCCTCTCACAGACATGCCAAGAGCTCTGCTCAGACACCACTGCACTCAACAGGAGCCTTGCCATTCACCTCACTGGGCTTTGGGATCTGTCCCTGCTCCCTGCCACAACTCTGCCTTACTCATTACAGGCTCATTTGCATTTCTGTGCTGCAGTTCAGTGACTGCTCAGATATTCATTGCAGTCTCAGGGATTCCAAGATACCCAGGACCAAAATGTGGCATGCAAGCTCTTCACCCCGTGGGAGAGGATGAGCTTCCACATTTAACTGCTGGACAATGACAAATCTCCAATTAATACAAAAAGTTTGATATAAAGAATAATTTCTGGATGATTTGTGATTTCTTGGCACTTCAGAAATGATTTTTAGAAGTTGGGAATGTACAGAAAATGAATCCTGATTCCTCAGGATACAGACATCCAAAAAGTTTAATAGCTATTCTGTCTCCAGAAAAATATAATTAAAATTAGACTTTTTGAATTGTTAATTTGAGATTTCATGGATTTATATCAGTGGCACAGAGAAAATAATCTACCTAAACCTAAATTTAACCAGGATTTGGGTTTTTTTATACATTTCAAGAGTATAAACCTTACTCTGGTCTCACTTATTTTAGTAAATGCTAGGACATATAAAACTTCATGACAATCAGTAAAGGACACATCCAGTCCACTCAGCCTCTGCCTGTTAACCAGACCAGGCCTTTTTTTCTGTGAAGTTATCTGTTTCCATTTAATATTTGGCTTGGGTTTTTTCTTTTATTGTTGGAAGGAGTTAATAAGAAATGTCCTGTAAGAAAGGTCCTCTCTCTGTAGCCACTGGTTGTTGGATAATTGTATGTGCCCCTTCCAAGACAGGGTAAGCCTGTGTTGGTCTAGAAGATCAAATCCAGTTGTAAATTGAGGAATAAGACTCAATGATAAAATTATCCCAGCACAAGTAATCTCTTTTATCAAAAATTTTAAATCCAGAGATTGTCTTTTGTAAACCAAATAATATTTTGCTTTCTCCCCAGCATAAATTATAAGTTTTCAGATTTATTCCTCTTGTATTTAATAAAAACGTAAAATGATCAAGGCATTGATGTCTAAACTACCTTGCAGCAGTGTTATCTCATATGAGATAACATCCTTTGCCTAGGCACATTATTAGAATGAGCTAAAAGCTTGAATTTGGGAGAGGCTCTGCCCTCCACACGTACACATGGAAGCAGTCATCTGTAAAAGGCCAGAACCATTTGGGGGAGACACTTCAACATGTATTGTACCCAGCATTACCCATTTCTAGAAGCACCTGTGCTGCATGCAGGTCATTATCTGAAATTGCCAGACCTGCTCATAGCAATGATCCCCATCCTAAGGAAAAATTGGTGAAATGAGGTTTTTATAAAATTTTGATGTCTTCCAGCATGTTGACTCATAGAGCAAATAAATATCAGAAATTGGGAGACTGTTTAAAATGTTTTATGTACTCACCTTGCCTTCAATCAAGTACGTAAAGGAGGTAATCCTCCCACTGAGAAATTTCTCCCTATGCCTACTTTCATGGCAGGAGCTCACACTGTTCCCAGTTTTGCCTGCCAGAGCCCAGGGAACGTGACAAAGTGCTTTTCAGAAGTTCATTTTTTTCCCTATTCCCAGTTGTTATTCCCACCACAATAGTGGCTTCTGGCAAGGGTATCCTGGCACGACCTGACACAAAAGGTGAACTGCAGTCTAGTGCCAGCTTCCCAAATCACCTGGAGCCTCATTGCAAATGTCACATAAGCAGAGACAGCTATCACAGAGGGGCAGCTGCTGCTGTTCAGTCTCCGAAAAATCCTCATCCCCAGCATTTGATGTTTGAATCCTGTTTGGATTTTTTATTTCTACTCTCTCTAAGGAGAGGTCACACCTAACACTGAAACACCCACAAAAAAGTGCATTTCCAAGCTGGTAATTAAGGCTTGAGCAATGCAGTCCTGGCTCACATTGGATGCAACTTTTCAGCTAAAAGTCCCCACTTGGCACCGTGTCGAAATTTTGGAGAGAAATTTCCTATTTCCTCAGTGTCTGGGCAGAGCTGATATTCAGAGGCTTGCAGGAGCTGCAGGATTCTGTAGCAGCACAGCTCCCAGCCCAGGCAGAGCCCTGTAATTCAGGTTTCATTGATTCACTATGCAGCAGGCACAGCAAGGTTATGGGAAACTTTGTGATGACCATCTGCCTTCCCCTGCAAAGGGTGCAGCGAGCGACGGCCACACTTCAAAGGAGGCAGCAGAGCAGGCACAAATAAGTCATGTTCTGCTGTATCTCCTGTGAAACAGCAGATAACAGCTATTTTTTACACTGATGTACAATAGGGCACCCAGCTCGTATGTCAGCAAAACAGAGAGTAAGCTTTCAGATGGAATTGAGGAAATCACAAGCGCTGAATTGCTGTGAGGACATTTTGTCTGTTCCCTTCTTTCTGGAGGCAAATTGTTTCCTATCTAAGTGAGGGGTTTTGCCTTTGCTGCAGTTAAACATGAATGTGGCACCACAGCACTTGGGAAAATGGGGCTTTTCTCAGATACAGTAGCAGAATCAAAGAACACCTTGGATTGGAAGGGACCTTAAAAATCATCTCTTTCCAAACCCCCTGCCACGGGCAGGGACACCCTCCACTAGTCCAGATTGCTACAGACCCTGTCCAACTTGTACTTGAACAGCTTCAGGGGTGGGGCAGCCACAGCTTCTTTGCAGTGGTTACAATCTTAGCGAGGAAAGCAGAAGAAATATGGGGGACAACAGTCTTTTGTTCACCCCATTTCATGGATGACAACTGATGTGTAGGAAAATGGAGACCCAGTGCTGCTAACATGAATTTCAGCACCTCCCAGAGTCCAAGACAGGGACCTACCTGTTCTTGGAATCTCATGGGAGCTTCAGAGGAGTTATTCACTGCCTCAAGTTCTCTGTTGTCCTCCAAGATCAACTGAGTGAAAGAACAAGGCATGAAGGGCTAAATTCCTGAACTAAGCCTAAGCTCTGGGAAACAAAATGTGCCCACAATGACTTGTGTAAAGGATGCCTGAAGAGCCAGGCAGGTTTTGAATAAGACTTCATATAGTTCTGCATTAAAAAAGGTGCTTTCTGCTAATTAGTACGTCCTTCCTGGCATATGCCTGCATGCTGCTATTTTTAATTTCATAACATATTTTGATGTTTCAGACTACAGACCACTCACACTTTTACCTACATCTGCTGCTACTCTTTGATACTACATACAGAAAAACAACCCCCCAAAATAAGTAATAATAATAACTATTGGTTATATATGATTTTATACCCATGTATCTACAACAGAAGATGCTAATTGACTTTAGCAAGGTCACTTGCATGGTTGGAATCTTGTTTCAAATTCCCAGGCTGTGTATGTGCTCTTTTCTTTTTCAATTTTTTAAAAATATCTAATAAATATTAGATATTTTTAATGAATTTTCTGTTCTTCCAGATTCTCATGGCAGGTAATTCTCTCCAGACCTGAGCATCTTTAAAGATGCAATGAAATATAGATCACCTGCTGGGGCATGTGATATTTCATCTAAAACAGGGGGCAAGAAAAATTCTTTGCTTCAATGGACATTATTAAATTGTTTTTTGTGTTCTTCCTCCTCTTTTTCTAGTTGCCTCAAAGGCATTTGACATATTAAGGCTCTGAAAGGGAGGAGAATGAGAACTAAGACGACAGGCATGAGCAGCTTCACCTTCCTTTCCCCCCAGCATGACGGACTTTGCCACCTGTGTCAATGCAGACCTGACCTTGCTTGTGGTTGAAAATCCAAACTCCTTGTTTTTTCAGCAGCAAGATTCACTAATTGTGAATGAATGTGTAGAGAATAAACCCCTGCTATGTTTCAGGATGGAAACTTCTCTGTAAATGATGCTTGGACCCTTAATTTCCTAAGAAGATATGTAGGTGGTATGGGATGTTTGACTTGCTCCAGAGCTGAGGGCCTCTCAGGTTAAAGGAAACCAGCTGCTCCTACTGAGCTAAATATCTTCTGCTAGTGATAATAGTAGTAGGCACAGATCCTCTCAGCACGCAGCCCAGAGGGACACTAGAAATACTCCCTCACTACTAAAATTACCTGTGGCCTTTTTTGTTTTGTTTCCTTAATATTTTCAGTGCAGGTGCTGCAGGCCCAGCTCCCGCTGGGGGTTCTGTGTGGTCACTGCAGCACTAGCCCTCGGCAGGGCCTTGCCCTCTGCTGGGGGGTTTTCTTTCTCCAAAATCTCTCTGAGTCAGGAAGAAAGGGGCTGTAGTCAGTGCAGAGAATGGCAGGGAGGGCCAGCTGTGGGTGTTGGCTCTGAGGGATGGGGCTTAGTGGTGGGCCTGGCAGTGGCAACTCAAGGGTTAGACTTGGTGATCCTAGAGGTCTTTTTGAATATAAATTATTCCATCATTCATCTCTGCTCTGAATGGCATCAGCCTCCTCTGGCTTTCCTCTCACAGGAAAAAGGGAGGGTTTGAGCTATTTTTGAGAGGACATGGCTTCTACCTCCTTAGCACCTTGCTCAGCAGAGGTTGGGCTGGTGAGGGTTTTAAAACTCTTTTCAGATCCCTGGCTACAAGGAAAGGAGCTGTTGTTCCCTACTGCTTGATCACTCTCATTCAAGTACACCTACAGGACCTTAGCCAGCAAACTTATCTCGATTTTTATTTTTCTTTAACTGCTTCCTTTCATCAGCTGGAGTGATAGATCATTATCAAGCTACATTATAGAAAGGTTAGGATAAAGCATGCCATCCTGCTTGCATGCTATTTTATCTTAAAAGCTTAAAGTGTTCAACAGAGGGCAACCAGGAATGTCTGCTGAAATACATTGTGTGATAAACATCCTAATGAAATCAATGCAGTTGTTTCTCCCTCTGATAAGGACATTCCTACTCTACTGTAGGTCACAGA